AAAACACAGAAACCCTGAGCCACAGGCCGCTCTTTGGAATGCCACCACTTTCTCATCTCAGTGGTGGTCGCATTGGGAGGGCAGCCCGCAGGGCTTTTTGGGGCAGGTAATGGCAAGTCCCAGCTGCCACTGGGGTCTTTTAAAAGCAGTGTGTTACCTCACCTTCAGGAACCATGGCGGCCTATGCCACCATGGCTCAGAGTGGGGCAGGAAGCCAAGAAAAACTGTGTATGGTTAGCCACATGAGGATTGTATGGCCAGGCTTACTAGTTTTGTTTTGTTTTTGAGGCAGTTTGTAATCTGGGGCTTCTGAAATTTTAGAGAACAGTCCGTATATTAGTTTCCTGTGGCTGATGTAACTTATTACCACCTCCGTAGTTGCTTAAAACAACATACTTTTATTCTCTCACAGTTCTAGAGGTCAGAGATCCAAAATGGGTCTCACTGGGCTCAGTGTCAGCAGGGCTATCTTCCTCGGGAGGTTCTAGGGAAGCGTGTATTTCTTTGCTTGTCCTGGGCTCATGGCTTCCTTCCGTCTTCACAGCCAGCAATAGCTAACCGACTCCTTGTACTTCACCGCTCTGCCTCTCCCCCCTCCTTCTCTCACTTATAAGGGAATCTGTAGTTACATTGGGCCCACTCAGGTAACCCAGGACCATCTCCTTAGCTCAAGATCCTTAATTTATCTCTTGGAAGCCCCTCTTTCCTTGGAAGGTAACTTATTTATTCACATGTTCCAGGGATGAGGACATAGCATCCTTAGGCGGGCATTTTTCTGCCTATCACAGTCATTATTTCAAAAATAATAATATGATGTGATTTTTGAAGTAATGAACTTTTTAATAGGCCAGTTCAGCATGAAAGAAAGCTGCTGTTGGTACAGTAGACTGTGTCAGAAAGTAACAAGGCCTAAATTTCCTTTGCTCATGGAATGTTAACAATGAAGAAAAAGAAATTTGCCATACCCAGCAGGAGTATTTGGTTGCCCTGCAACGTTGCACAGCCCTAACTCTGCCGCCCCCCCGGTGCCTCCCCATTTTCAGGATGTCGACCCTGGGGACAGTGAACACATAGATAGAATGGGAGATGTGGCTCCAGCACCGAGAAGCATTGTGCAAAATGCAGGCCTGGGCTCCGAGGAACCTGTTTAGACCTCCATGCAAATTCGACATTGCATCCACACCTTTAGCCAACAGAACTTAACCCCTGCCCTGCCACACCCAATGGCTGGTTTCATTCTGCCCTGTAAAGCTGAATTCATCGCCCCACTCCTCAAGCTTGAACTTTCCTACCTCGTGCTACAGGGACTAGGAAGCTTACCTGTCACCCTGGGTGTTTCTTCTCAGCCAGTGACATCCAATTGGTCTCCAAGACCTGTGGGGGCTGCTCTCTCTTTTAAAATGTATTTTTGATTTCAGAGAGGAAGGGAGGGTAGAGAGAGAGAGAGAAAGAGAGAGAGATCAATGATGAGAGAATCATTGATCAGCTGCCTCCTGCACACCCTCCACTAGGTATCAAGCCTGCAACGCGGGCATGTGCCCTGACCGGGAATTGAACCGTGACCTCCTGGTTCATAGGTCGACCGACGCTCAACTACTGAACCACACTGGCTGGGCAAGGCTGTTCTCTTAATAGCTTTTGAACCTGCCCTACATTAGCCCCCTAGTCGTCTTCTTCTTTTTTTTTTTTTTTGGTTAATCCTCACCTGAAGATATCCACCCCCTTTTTTAGATAGGGTGGCAAGGAGGGGGAGAGATAGAGAAACATTGATGTAAGAGAGACACATTGAATGGTTGCCTTCCACACTTGCCCTTGGTGGGGGCCAGGGATTGAGCCTGCAACCAGGTACGTGCCCTTCACCAGAATTGAACCTGGGACCCTTCAGTCCTTGGGCTGAGGCTCTATCCACTGGTTAGGGCTAGCCCCTCGTACAGATGTGAGGCCTATCATGAACCACATTGCTTAGTGACAATCAAGATCAATAATAATAATAATAATAATAATAATAATAATAATATGATCAGTGCTGTAAAGGCAGTATTAACACAGCACCTAGTGGGAAAACTGAAGCCATTCTGTGACAACGGGCTGGGAGTGGGGTGATGGGCCATCCACATGAAGAGGGCATTTAATCAAAATGATGATCATGCCTTAACATGATATTCTGTTTTGAAACTAATCAGTGATTACATACAGCAGTGGTTCTCAAACATTAGCATGGATCAGAATCTCTCAGAGGGCTTGTTCAAGAACCATTGATTCAGTAGGTGTGGGGTGGGGCCGGAAAATCTGCCTTTCTGACAAGTTCCTTGGCAATGCAGATCCTGATGATTTGGGCCATACTTTGAGGATCACTGACCTAAATGTCTGAATTAAGAGTTGTGTTAGATCAGTGGTTCTCAACCTTCTGGCCCTTTAAATACAGTTCCTCATGTTGTGACCCAACCATAAAATTATTTTCATTGCTACTTCGTAATTGTAATGTTGCTACTGTTATGAATCGTAATGTAAATATCTGATATGCAGGATGGTCTTAGGTGACCCCTGTGAAAGGGTCGTTTGACCGCCAAAAGGGTCGCAACCCACAGGTTGAGAACTGCTGTGTTAGATGATGTTGCTAGAAACACAATTTAAAGCAAATAGAATTTAGCTGTTCCACTCTCAGACAAATTAGTTTTTTAAAAACTATGTTTTGATGGCTTAGTAACTCTTATAAATTTTTCATGTAACAATTTTTATTGTAAAATATTTTACTAAGATTTAATATTTACCTTAGGTATTTGACGGTCAGAGAACAGCTCTTGTGTGTGGCAAAAGGCATGATTGCCCTGTGCTTGCCAAAATTCTTTCCTTTACTTCCTGGGAAGCACTCATAAAACCACATTTCCTGACCCCTTGGCAGTTAGGTTAGAGGCCCAGTGGTTGGCAAACTGTGGCTCGAGAGCCACATGAGTCTCTGTGGCCCCTTGAGTGTGGCTCTTCCACAAAATACCACGTGCGGGCACGCATGTACAGTGTGATTGAAACTTTGTGGCCCATGTGCAGAAGTCAGTATTTTGTGGAAGAGCCACACTCAAGGGGCCAAAGAGCCGCATGTGGCTCGCGAGCCGCAGTTTGCTAACCACTGGTAGACCATGTGAGTGCATAGTGAGAAGGAGGAATGCAAACCCTTCCAGGTTTGGCCTTGTTTCTTTGGCCAGCCAGGTGCGCAGGATCTAGTGAAGGACCAGAGGTCCAGGGGCCTACTTAGGCACTAGATAAGAATGTGGGTTCCTGAGTCAGCACTTGGAGAAGAGCCACCCAGGATTGCCTCTCAAGTGGGGAACCAGAGAGAGAGTATACCGAGCGGTTTCCTGGGACTGTCTTCTTCCCGAGTCCTGCACGGTGAAGACTTGAACCGGTTCATGCAATCTAGGAGGCGCTTTCGGGATTGAAGAAATAATGACAGACAGACATAAAATAGATTCAAAGCTTGGGCTGGGTGTGGTGCCTGCCCTCCAGAGGGACAGGCAGAGAGAGCCTGCCCTCTGAAGGGACAGAGCACACAGAGAGAGCCAGCTCCAAAAGCTGCTTTATTATATACTTGAGTTACAGGAAGTTACATCACATCTGGGTAGGCCTTTGACATCATGAGATCCATCCCCTTGACACTGGGTGGGAGAGTCAAACTGGGTGGCGTCCAATCTTTTGACTGGTCCCGCCCTCAGGGAGAGGCTCTGCCGGCCCCCTGAGTCCAGCTGACATAAATTAAACCAAGTGTATTCTACCGGCCCTTAACAAGAGAGGAGAGGGTGTACCAAAGGATTTTGCAATGTGCTTCTGTGGCATCTCAGCCCTGATGTTTAGGGGTTTGCTCCCGCTGTGTAGCTTAGTGTACCCTAATATGTTGTGCCAGGCACTAACACAAAACACACTGAATGAATGACCACTACAAATCCAATTTTTATCCCTAACATCTGACATTCAGCCTGTAAGTGGTCTTCTCACCACTCATTTACTCAATAAATACTTACCTGCAGGCTACTGTGTGCCAAGCACTGCAGTGGTGATTGAAAAAACACACTCTTTCCATGCCCCCATGACATTTACAGTCTTGTTAGGAATGAGCATAAATTAAAGAAATGTAACATTTCAACTGTTCTGAATGGTGTGAATGCAGGAAACCTGGCACTATAAGGGTTTTTTGTTCCTAGTTAGGAATAAATGTAGAGCACGTTTAAGGTGAAATTACCATCTGGGTAAAAGTGACAAAACATACAGCCAAGTTTGGATGTGATAAAGCATAATATAAATCTGAATATAGTTAGGAGTCATTGGGTTTTATTGTTAAATCTTTCCATTTATTAGTTTTAACTGCTGAATGGGATTTGCTTCATAAATGTATGTGTGAAGATGACTGTGAAACTCTCACTTATCAGCTGTTAGTTCCCTGGAGACTTGCAAAAGTCCTTTACTCCTTTTGTAAAATCGGTGTTTATAATTTTCTCTAGTAGCAGTAGGTTCTTAGGATATTAGTAACAATTTACTGCTGGGCTAGAGTTTTACAATCAAGGCCTCATTTAGTAAAAGGTAAATCAAATCAAATCACTAAATACCTTCTTGAATTGGAACTTGTCATGCTGCTAACCACTTTGGCCTTTCTAACATTTCTCTGCTTAACAAGTAAATGTTGGTTTCAGTAAGCTCATACACAGATGTACATGTGTGTGTGTGTGTGTGTGTGTGTGTGTGTATAAATATGTACTTAGAGATATATATTTCACTGGTATCTCTGACATATTTACACACATATACACAATGTATTTACGGGGTGGGCAAAAGTAGGTTTATAGTTGTGAGGACGTTAGTTTATTCTTGTATTATTTATTAACTGTAAACCTACTTTTCCCCACCTCTATATATCTATATCTATATGTGTATTCTTCACTTCTGTTTAAAAACTTGATTCTCATACTTCAAAGAGTGATGAAAATCATTACATAAATGACATTACAAGCATGGAAAAAAGACAAAGTATTTATTTCTGTAGTTTGTACAAAAAAAACCCAGTTGCTATTATTTTCACATAGAGAACACTTTAGGCATTTTCAAAAGGGGAGGGTTAGAACAGGCAGGCCACTGGACATGCAGACCAGGCTCTACTACCAAGATACTAGGTCACAGGAGTGGGCTGGTAATTTTAATAAGTTCCATTCTAGCCCAGTGAGTGTGGCGCAGTGGAGCATGGACCTATGAACCAGGAGGTCACAGTTCCATTCCCAGTCTGGGCACATGCCTGGGACGTGCTGGCTGGATCCCCAGTAGGGGGCATGCAGGAGGCAGCTGATCAATGATTCTCTCTCATAGTTGATGTTTCTCTCTCTCCTCTTCTCCCTTCCTCTCTGAAATCAATAAAAATAAATTTTAAAAATTCAATTTTAGAGAAATTATCGGATTTTTAAGCTGCAAGTGCCCTAGGGATTTATATTCAAATATCCCAGAAAGGAAACTAATCTCAGTAAGTTTGGCGTTTTTGGAAGAAAGCAGTTTATACACTTCAGAATTCACGTTTATAGTGCCAAGTAAACTGTACAAAGGTGTTTAAAACACTAACAGTGTCAAAAAGGCAAAATAACTTGCTCACTACAGTAACTTAATTTGGTCCCAGACCTAGACCCTGGGGTCTCCTAAATCGGGTGCAGCTTTCTCCGCACCACAGTTCTCGTCCTGCAACTGAAGGTCAGGCTGGATTATCCTTAGTTCCTCCAACAGTGCGCTTCCTCCGGGGTTGGCGTGTTTGATCGGATAGGGCTAATTCAGATTAAGTTGCCTTCTGCCGCCTTCTTGTTTCTTTTGTTTCCACTGCTCTTAGTTTTTATCATCAGCATTGCTGACCTTCTGTTTCAAATAAAAGACACACTCATTTAATAACATCAACAAGGAATTTAACACCCACCTAAACTGATTGGCTCGGGGCACAGGACACTGCCATTTCCAGCCGGGAAAAGGTGAAGGGGACACACTGCATCGGATGGCCACGTGCGGGAGGAGGGGCCGCCTTTTGGTTGGTGCCCGGAGGGGCTAAATCCCTCCAATCCGCACGGGCCCCGCGGTGGAGGAGGGGGCGCGCTCCGGGGGAGGGCGGGGCCCGCGACCTGTCCATCACCGGGTCCTCGGGAGGCAGCACCTACCACACCGCGGTACCTTATCGGGGCGGGGCCGGGGCGCGAAGGCCAAGTGGAGAAGGCGGGGCCAGAACGGCTGGAGCCAATCCGCCGGGCGGCAGGAGGGGGCGGGGTCACCGCGCGCGACCCAAACACACGGGCCCGGGCTCACCCCGGACCCGCGAGGCTCCTCGGCCTTCCGGCTCCAGGCCCCGCCGCCTCCTCCCCTCCGGGGCCCCCACCCTCGCGGGCCACACTGCCCCCCGCCCCTCCTTCACTAGAGAAGCGCGGCGGCGGTTGCCGGGAAGCGCGCGCCGTCCTTTCCTCCTCGCCATCCTCCCCTCACGCGCCACCCGTTTTTCCTCTTTCTCCGTTAATAACAGCTGGGCGGCTGGGGGAGGAGGAAGGTGGCCCCGGCGGAGTCTGGGCGGGCGCCTCCCACTCACCCGCGAGCCGCCGTGCGAGCAGGAGGATGGCGGCGGTAGCAGGGGCCGCCCGGGAGGAGGCGGTGCCGAGGCCCGCGGCGCAGAGCACGGCGGCGACAGGCGAGAGAGCGGCAGCAGCCCGTCGCGGCGCAGCAGAACCGAAACCAGCG